ACTTATATAGGGACCTATTGTTACAGACACAGGTGTGGACACTTATATAGGGACCTATTGTTACAGACACAGGTGTGGACACTTATATAGGGACCTATTGTTACAGACACAGGTGTGGACACTTATATAGGGACCTATTGTTACAGACACAGGTGTGGACACTTATATAGGGACCTATTGTTACAGACACAGGTGTGGACACTTATATAGGGACCTATTGTTACAGACACAGGTGTGGACACTTATATAGGGACCTATTGTTACAGACACAGGTGTGGACACTTATATAGGGACCTATTGTTACAGACACAGGTGTGGACACTTATATAGGGACCTATTGTTACAGACACAGGTGTGGACACTTATATAGGGACCTATTGTTACAGACACAGGTGTGGACACTTATATAGGGACCTATTGTTACAGACACAGGTGTGGACACTTATATAGGGACCTATTGTTACAGACACAGGTGTGGACACTTATATAGGGACCTATTGTTACAGACACAGGTGTGGACACTTATATAGGGACCTATTGTTACAGACACAGGTGTGGACACTTATATAGGGACCTATTGTTACAGACACAGGTGTGGACACTTATATAGGGACCTATTGTTACAGACACAGGTGTGGACACTTATATAGGGACCTATTGTTACAGACACAGGTGTGGACACTTATATAGGGACCTATTGTTACAGACACAGGTGTGGACACTTATATAGGGACCTATTGTTACAGACACAGGTGTGGACACTTATATAGGGACCTATTGTTACAGACACAGGTGTGGACACTTATATAGGGACCTATTGTTACAGACACAGGTGTGGACACTTATATAGGGACCTATTGTTACAGACACAGGTGTGGACACTTATATAGGGACCTATTGTTACAGACACAGGTGTGGACACTTATATAGGGACCTATTGTTACAGACACAGGTGTGGACACTTATATAGGGACCTATTGTTACAGACACAGGTGTGGACACTTATATAGGGACCTATTGTTACAGACACAGGTGTGGACACTTATATAGGGACCTATTGTTACAGACACAGGTGTGGACACTTATATAGGGACCTATTGTTACAGACACAGGTGTGGACACTTATATAGGGACCTATTGTTACAGACACAGGTGTGGACACTTATATAGGGACCTATTGTTACAGACACAGGTGTGGACACTTATATAGGGACCTATTGTTACAGACACAGGTGTGGACACTTATATAGGGACCTATTGTTACAGACACAGGTGTGGACACTTATATAGGGACCTATTGTTACAGACACAGGTGTGGACACTTATATAGGGACCTATTGTTACAGACACAGGTGTGGACACTTATATAGGGACCTATTGTTACAGACACAGGTGTGGACACTTATATAGGGACCTATTGTTACAGACACAGGTGTGGACACTTATATAGGGACCTATTGTTACAGACACAGGTGTGGACACTTATATAGGGACCTATTGTTACAGACACAGGTGTGGACACTTATATAGGGACCTATTGTTACAGACACAGGTGTGGACACTTATATAGGGACCTATTGTTACAGACACAGGTGTGGACACTTATATAGGGACCTATTGTTACAGATACAGGTGTGGGCACTTATATGGGGACCTATTGTTACAGACACAGGTGTGGACACTTATATAGGGACCTAGTGTTACAGACACAGGTGTGGACAGGACAACTGAGATCCGTTCTCGTGTTAACGTCATGCTTGCCTTCATGTGTTGCATATTGTAAATTATGAACAAGTACTGCTGTACAAAAAGACATTTAAGACAATTCGGTTTGTTCACAGGAGCTGACTGAAACGTTTTATTGGCACAGTTCGATCGTTACCTGTCTGCTTTGCAGTGATTGCCTGATTTCTCATATCATTTTGTTAGATACCCTAACCTTGACCTTGATTTTAACTTACTCCATGTTAAATTGTTAGAGAATGAAGACAGTTTATAGGCTCTGTCTATTTTTAGAGAACACTTAAGTTAAGTAAGTTGTAGTGTTATGGCATACCGCATTCCTAGACTGATCAGAGTTATAAAGCTTAGATGTTTAGCAGTTATTTATAGACACGTGCCCAGGCCTGGTAATGAAATACTGGCGCGGTTTAAATACTCATACCCGTCATCATGAATGCCTGAAAGAAAAATCATAACAATATGTACACGACATGATCTCCGTTATTTGTAATTTGAATACCGTCGCTCAGTCCAACAATATTTGTATTTCATCTTTGTTTTTCGTTAAGAACGCTGTAGGTTGGTGAGTCGTTGGCGCTGCAATAGATATTTCTTCGTTTGTTGACGCTTTGGTAGATTTGTCGTGGGTTGTTGACCATGTGGTATATTTTGTCTTTGGTTGCCTACTCTGTGGTATATATAGTCTTTTGTTGCCTATTCTGTGGTATATTTTGTCCTTGGCTGCCGACTCTGTGGTATATTTTGTCTTTGGTTGCCTACTCTGTGGTATATTTTGTCTTTGGTTGCCTACTCTGTGGTATATATTGTCTTTTGTTGCCTATTCTGTGGTATATTTTGTCCTTGGCTGCCGACTCTGTGGAATATTTTGTCTTTGGTTGCCTACTCTGTGGTATATATAGTCTTTTGTTGCCTATTCTGTGGTATATTTTGTCCTTGGCTGCCGAGTCTGTGGTATATTTTGTCTTTGGTTGCCTTCTCTGTGGCATATTTTGTCCTTGGCTGCCTACTCTGTGGTATATTTTGTCATTTTCTGCCTACTCTGTGGTATATTTTGTCTTTGGTTGCCTACTCTGTGGCATATTTTGTCCTTTTCTGCCTACTCTGTGGTATATTTTGTCCTTTTCTGCCTACTCTGTGGCATATTTTGTCTTTGGTTGCCTACTCTGTGGTATATTTTGTCTTTGGTTGCATACTCTGGTATATGTTGTCCTTAGCTGTCTACTCTGTGGTATATTTTGTCCTTGGCTGCCTACTCTGTGGTATATTTTGTCTTTTGACTGTGGTCTATTTAACCTTGGTTGCCGACTCTGTCGTATGGTTGTAGCTTGTTCTGGTTTGCTGTGGTATATAGTTAAATATCCTTACTTTACCAATGCCATCATACAAGAAAACTCACTACAAAACAATCAATTGTAATTTGAAATGCAAATTGTAACCTGCACTTACAATTACATTACATGAAGTTGATATTTTGTAACTTTTCATCTGCTGGCTTTATTGGCATTGTATATACAACTAACAACCCTTCACGTTATCACACCCTGCTTAGCAAACAGTGTAACTTTCTCATACAGCAATTAAATAACATACACATTTGATCAGTTACACGTACGTAAGTAGTACAAAGTACCATCTAGTTGTAATATACAGGTAAGATGTAGCGCACGCTCAGTGTGTACATGTGCTTGACGTACTGAAGCCGTCTTGCAAGCAAAGGTTTGTTATTCCTGCGGTGAGCGATATTCCTGGAACTAGATCACCCGAAGGCTCCCGGCATGGCATGGCGACTCGCCTGCTCGGACCGATCGATCAGCGTAGTGGTGGATTGTCTCCGCATCGCTGTTGATGGTTGTAACGCTGGCAATGGTCCATAAAATATCATACTGCTATGTGAAGATAAACGGTGTAGTAAAATCAGGGATAACGAAACAAAAGGCTGTAGTGGTATTATCGACAGAAATGAAACAGATCCTAACAAACACTACTGACAGTACTTGAACAGAACCATTACATTGTCATAATCTAGCAGCACGCAAATTTCACAGCTGTATTTGTTTCACACTTAGATTTTTTTCGAGACGACCCCCACTCATATCGGCGGCCATTTTTACAGGACTTGCTCATCTTTCGACTTTATATAGATACACACGAAGAGGAGATGTAACATCATCTGCTGTCAGCTCTGGTTTTGCTTACTCCACAAATAAACACACATACATACACCAGATGATAAGGCGGCAATATCACCCTAACACGAACTGATGCTTACATAAACTCGTCAAGTGGGTAGCCGTAAGTCACCAAAAACCATCCCATCTATCATCGTGTAGCTCTATATAATACCCGTGTCCTTAAAATCAGCTCCTCTCTTTATACACCGTTATGATTGTCCTGGATACGTGTCTGTAGACAGATGGACGTCACCTTGTAGACAGATGGACGTCACCTTGTAGACAGATCGACATCACCTGCTATAGACATACTTATCAGTACTATGTTTGAAATAAAACTTTGCCGTTATGATATTAACACTCGAAAAATGTTGGTGTAGTGGAATCTCGAACCCTATCGATAATGACACATGTGTCTGTGATATGATACATTTACATTTATGCGTATTGTCATCGTGATTTATCTTACCATAATAATTAATCAAAATCAAATGATGTGAAGTGTTTCTGTAGTTTTCTGATCGTCAGCAATCAAATGTTCAGCAAATCCTATTTAAGTAGCATCTTTTGTAAAGATAATACGCTAACAAAAGATACACTGTATAAAATATGCTGTACTAAAAAATTGATGGAAGCGACGAAAAATGCTTCAATGTGTTTTCTAAAGTTTTGGATATTAGCTGATAGCGGTTTCGAGATAGCAAACCCAAATCACGAAACCTAGCGAATGTCAAAAAAATGGAAGAGCGAACTCACTATCGGGCATTTATGAAAATTAAGCGGGGTAAATATATTATTACTGATTACAGTACAACTATCTTTTCACAGAGTGGAATTTTCTCGATGATAAGGGGAAATTGCACGCTTGAAAAGTATTGCATTAACGATTAACGAATTTAGGTAGTCGTACTTGACTATAAATTTATACTGTCGTGTTTAGCCTATTACAGACTCGACTATAGCACTTAATCTTAAACATATATTTCTAAAGCCAAAACTAGGGTATGAAAAGAACATAAAATTGTAAATCCAGTTGTTTTTCAAACGATTGAACAAAATAAACTTATTTATTATTCTTTTTCTCAGAATGGCCAATGCAAGAGCGAAAGCAGAGCAGGCAGACCAATCGGCCCTGAAATCAGAACAAGACTCGGATTTTGCCAGGTTAAAAGCGAAAGAGTATGCTCCAGAATTTCATCAACCAGGTAACACGAGGCCTTATCTTAATCTATCAACCAGGTAACACGAGGCCTTATCTTAATCTATCAACCAGGTAGCACGAGGCCTGATCTTAATCTATCAACCAGGTAACACGAGGCCTTATCTTAATCTATCAACCAGGTAACACGAGGCCTTATCTTAATCTATCAACCAGGTAACACAAGGCCTTATCTTAATCTATCAACCAGGTAACACGAGGCCTTATCTTAATATATCAACCAGGTTACATGAGGCCTATCTTAATCTGTCAACCAGGTAACTTGAGGCCTTATTTTAATCTGTTTACCAGGTAACATGAGACCTTATTCTTATATGTGAACGAAGGACTATGTGTTTAATCTATCAATCAGGTAACATGATACCTTATTTTAATCTATCAATTAGGTAACATGATTCCTTATTTAAATATATTAATCAGGTAACATAATACCTTATTTTAATCTATCAATCAGGTTATTTTAATCTATTAACAGGTAACATAGAGTCTTATTTTAATTTGTGTACCAGGTATTATGAGGCCTTATCTTACACGTGTTTACCAGGTATTATGAGGCCTTACTCTTATCTGTGTACCAGGTATTATTAAGGCTTATCTTAAACGTGTTTACCAGGTTACATGAGGCCTTATTCTAATCTGTTTACCAGGTTACATGATACCTTATTCTAATCTGTTTACCATGTTACATGATACCTTATTCTAATCTGTTTACCAAGTTACATGATACCTTATTTTAACATGATGCCTTATTTTAATCTTTTAACCAGGTATCTTTAATCCTTATTTTAATCTATTTATCATGTAACACGAGGCCTTATTTTAATTCATCAACCAGGTATCATGAGGCCTTATATTGATATATCATGATGTTCTTTGGTTCATACACATAACGTACTCTCACTATTTGGGACAGCCAAGTGGTACACAGTGTTCATCATGTTAGCGGTGTAGTAATAGTTCTATCATAATGTCACTGTAAATGGCCACCAGATGCACACTTATGTTGAATACTATTACACACATGAACAAACAAACTACACATTGACGAATTTAACTTTACATATGACTCAGTCGTGAGGCAGAATAATTCATAACTTTGGTAACACAAACAAAACAATATTGATTACCGGCTGTTTGATGTGTATCGGTAAAATTAATATTTTGTCCATTTCTTATTGATGACATAACGTTTCCTCTCCAGATATACTCGTAAACTCCGGCTTCAGGATAAACATTGAATCGTGTCGTTTGTAAGGCCCAATAAATGGAAGTCAGTCTCGTACAAATTAAATAAACTGCTAAAGCAGATCATAAAACTTAGCTCTTGGCTCAATTCCTTGCATCAGGCAATACATGCAAAAAATACAAAATTATTTGTAATTTTATGTTGAAATTAATTCATTTTTTCTATTTTTTTCGTTGTCTGCGTTTTTGTCGATTTAGTCTTTGTAAACAGTTTCATGAATCGTTTATGAATGAAACATTCGACGCGTTTACCTCATCGGGTGTCGAAATCAGAAAGAAATTCATGCTTCATGAAGCCTGTGACAAATGTAAATAGATATATGTTAATAAATGGAAGAATGTATGTATATACCAGTAACGATTTGTGTATCAAATACAAGGCCATACACATTATGTAATATTGCTGGTGTGTATCTAATACTTCTTACGTAGGTAATAGAATACAAGACTATGCAAATCAAGTAAAAAACAACAACATACATATTACCTACATATCCGATGAAAGGCCATACATATTACCTACATATCCGATGAAAGGCCATACATATTACGCAAAATCCCTGCACTATCTGATTGCTCAGTAGAAACATAGGGATATAGGAGACAGGCACTGCCACGTGTCACTGACAAACGTTCCCATTAAAAATATTGTAAACAGCGAATAAACGAAAACATTTTTTCTGATTTTGTCAAATTCTAGCTTCTGAAGTACGCTGTTAAATATTTGCTTTTATAAAATATGTTAATGACATTTATGCATTTTAGAATATATATTTTATCATGAGTATCTCAATACAGGGACAATACATATGTTCTGAGTCATATACATTTGTTGACAAAGGATGAGGGCAATGCGTCTTTCGCTGAACCCGAAGCCCAAACTGATGTCGGACACCACAAGCCGAAGGCTGAAATCGGTGAAAGGTCCAACAACATTATATGCAACCCTCAACGGGAGGCTGCAACTGTAAAATAACAGCTGTAATATAACAGCTGCATAACAACTCATGAAAAATAACACCTGTATTACAACACCTGTAACATAATACCTGTTTTACAGCACCTGTAAAATATTACCTGTTTTACAACACATGTAAAATGAACCTGTAGAATAACCTCTGTAACATAATACCTGTTTTACAGCACCTGTAAAATATTACTTGTTTTACAACACATGTAAAATAAACCTGTAGAATAGCACCTGTATTACAACATCTGTAACATAATACCTGTTTTACAAAACCTGTAAAATAACACCTGTAACATGATACCTGTATTACAAAACCTGTCAAATAACACCTGTTTTACAACACATGTAAAATAAACCTTTAGAATAACATATGTATTACAACACCTGTAGAATAAGTCCATGAATTGGATTAAACGACATGACAATAATACATCGAAACTTCCTTATTTATTATTAGCTATACAGACTGCAAACATCCCAGTAACTGTCCATTGAGCAAAGACCCGCCAACACAATATCAGAATAAAACGGACTAACAGCTACAAATCAACAATAAACATTGTTTTTTGTTAGACCATTCATGGGAACAGTCAGGTTTTTGGTAACTTTTTCTGTAAAGTGTTTATATACAAATGATTTTATAGTGGTATATCAAGGTGAATCAGATACATTTAGTTCGTCTGTAGGTGATTACAGATGACAGATTGTAAAGTATAGTTCGTGTCGTTGATGAGGGCAATGTGTAGTTGTAGAGTAGGTCTTAATCAATATCGTTGTGAATTGATGGTTCTAGAGATACAAAATGACATGAAAGAATTGTGACTGCTTCAAGTCTTTATTCCAATCATGTCGGAGCTACAAATAATTAAGTACAAATTATCTTGGTCGTCATAGAACATAGCCTGTCAGGATTTAGTCATGTACCACCGCTATAACCTGTCAGGATTTAGTCATGTACCACCGCTAGAATAGTTGATAAGTATTGACGACTTCATCAAGGAAAAACAAAAATATTGATCTAATTAAGATATTAAAAACTAAATCCATTGATCTCGATCTTAAATTCAATTTCAGAAAACAACAATCTGGAGTTACAGGCAAAACAACATATAACTTCGTAAACAGTACACTTCGAATGCATGGTTTTGATATATGCGGAAAAGAAGCCGATTGTGATTTCTATTTTGTTTGTTATTTACTCGAATAGTTTGATCTAATTTACATCCATTTGTAGGCTCAGATATGATGAAGAAGAAACGAGAGAATGGCGAGGTGGACGAAGATGAATACGACTTTAGTTACGTGAAAGGCCTTCAAAACCACAATCCACACCGCTCCAAGTCAATGCTCACAAAGACGAACCCCCACGACGGTGGGGGGTTGCTACCCGGAGGCCTCGTTCCGATGATCAACAGTTCCCCGGATGGAAGTCCACTTAGGAATAATAGTGGTTATGACTATATGCCTATGTCGAACGCCAAACAGGACGCTAAAAAGATGACCAGCATACCAAATCATTCGCCGCATAACAGGAGTCCATCTTTGAAAATAAGAAGGTATAGCTTTTTGGCAGGTTCGAGAAGGGGTAGAGGATTTAGTGAAATATTTAATTCGACAATTTTAAACGACCACTTTGATCAGTATTCTGCCCAAAGGGACGATAGCGGTTTAGGAAAGGAACTTTTAAGTGGTGAGGAGCGCTACAGGGCCAACCATATAACGGACCCGTCTCCAGATTCAGGTGTGTCGGAAAGTCTGGACGATGAGTCGAAGAACAGACCGCTTCAGCGAAGAAGAACTATGCCTTGCATTGTCAAAACAGAGGGCAATGCGACAACACAAGCAATGTCGGAAAGAGAAACGGCACATAGTAGCGAAAACATTGCAGGTAAAAACCCCGATACTTATGTTATAGAAAATGGAATACGAAAGCGTGTAACAGGGGTTGATAGGCCTCCAGCACAACCACAAAGAATGTCAAGGGGCGACCTTCCAAAAGAATATACAATCGAAAGCCAAAATACGTTGGGTAAGGGAAAGAGCAAAAGAGGAAGTCTTCCAGACATCACGGCTATCAAGCAAGTGGATAGGATCAAACCGATCTCGCGCGAGGAAGCCTACCAGCTGGGCAGTGCTAGGCGGGAAGAGCTCAGGCGGCTACAGGATTTGGCTGACCGGCGTCGGCAAGGGGACGTAACCGTCATCCTTGGGGATCTGAAGGTAGGTCATATGTCAACAACAATTTGACATTTGTAGGTTTGTGAAAACCCGCAGTATTTGCGGTTATTTCATTATTGATGAGTTAAGGTTAAATTTGCCATTGTGAGGTAAAGCTATATCGTTGGTACTGTAAGGATACACTTTATTATTTGTATTAAAACGCTACTCTGAATGGTATTGTAAAATAAATCTTTCTTGTTGATGATTTATGGTTAAACTTGGTATTGTAAGGATAATCTTTAACGTGGATGATGTAATTAAATTCTTCATAAATTAGAAATGTAATGCAATGATTGATAATTAAATACTGTACAAATAAACTCCGATATTATTATTGTTATGTTTATTCTTTATCTTTTGAAGTGGAATGTTAATAGTAATTATTAATATTGTAAGGTAATTTGTTTTGAATGGTTCTGCAAGGATGATGCAACTTATTTTAACAATGTGTGTTCTTATTTAATTTGCTCATTTTCAAACTACAGCATGTGAGAATGTCGTCTTTTACAAATGATAAGTAAATTTGTAAATTATTGCCACTGTAAATTAGTCCTATATCGTCATATATTGAATAGTTTGCGACTGTTGGAAATTATTTATGTTTGCGTGTTTTCAGGACTTTGTACAGCAGCGTCAACTGTTGGTCTTAGTAATTGCAGTGAACCTGAGTTTAGCCACAATGTTTTTCAACCTGTTGTCCTGATGAGTGCTGTAACGTTGTCGTCATGGAAACAAATATATGCACCTTCCAGTGACCTGTGTCACCGTGGCACACGTTGGCAACGGCGGGTTGATGCAACGGAAACAGCAGTCGAACCAGTTCTGGGTCAAAGGTCAAGAAGAGAAATTTGGATTTCTTACCACAGGAAATACCAAGACCATACCCGTTGGACGTGAAATTTGTTTGATAACCTGCTTTAGCCATGGCGTTTTCGCAAGCAGTTGATGGAACTCAGCGAGACTCCAACTACCTACTGAACCAAACTTTCCTATTCCGTCTCGTACGTCCGCATCCATTTTTCCATTAGGATGTACGAGACCGGGTCACGTGTTACCCAGTGATGTCACGTGCTACCCAGTGATCATCTTCCCTGGCACCGTACTTGTCCCAAGGACAGATCTCTATCAAGTTGTAGTGAGGACGAATTAAGTTAAAGACATTTTGTATAAATGTATTTTGGAAGTATTCATTTTTCCAAGAACAACATTTTTGTGGAGTATATAAGTTCTGGGAACAACGCGGAAAGGAAGATGAATACCAACGTTTTTTTGCAATCTTTGTTCGAGCTGGAATTCGTTAACGTTATTCAGAGTTTATATGCATTGTGGATGTTGGAGATTCTTGAATGCATGTGTGTGTGAATTGTCACAACTCATCATCCCGTGTTACCCGGAAATGTCTGTTCGCTCCTTGACCTGTTGGGGTTAATTCCAAGTTCCACTAGGTTTTGTACGACGAGGAGCAATCCAGAAGCAGTGTTTTGTTTTTGATCGGGATTACAAGTGAGCAGATTTAATGAACCTGTGTACAGATTCCTCCAGTCCTTTTAACAAATATCTTATATTCCTTCTCTCCATTATTTTGAATGTCTAGGATTTTTTTGTGACATTTTTGTTAAAGAGTGGATACAAGAAGTTTCTACTATACGCACATGTTCGATCCTTCAGCTGCCATACTATTGGCCCAATGACACAATCTGACACGCACCTAGTACCTCAATTAAGGTCATGTCCATAACACAGTACATGACACGTTTCCTGTAATGCCATCACAATATATATATTGTCTACGTCATCAAACGGCATGCTAACGGAAAGAAGCTTATAATTCAATGGATAGATCTGTGTACGTTTGTATGGATCAACTTATTTGTAACGGTGTAAGGTAGTTGAATTGTGAATAAATTATGGTATTTGTCTAGGCCTATAGCGATCAAGAAACAATATTTTCACAAAAGTTAAGGAGATAGATATCTTTAAAGATCAAGAGATTGGTCATTTTAGCTTTGCGATGACCATGGAGGCAGCAACAGAAATCAGTATTTATTAATATTTAATCAGTTATTGACGAAGCACGTTAAATAGATACATGCAATAGTGCAACATTGAGCTCATGTTGACAGTCTGTGTACTGGCGACTTGCTGAGGAATAGGAAGGCGTTTTACCGTTGACTGGTAGCTTTTGTAAGTAGAAACAGTTAAAACATAAAGACAATGTTTGGAGAAACTAGTCATGACCATGGTCGTAGACCGGAAACAAAGTGCAAACGTCTATTTAAAAAGAATGCATTGTTATGACCCGGACATGTTTAATTGACTGATTTTATTCTTTGTTGAGATATTACGTAAATACATTATAATGTTGAAACTACTATTTCGTAGAGACAATAATACGTATATTTTCACCAAGTGTCAACCCGAAATATCCTTCTGTGTTGTCAATGTGCGAGGGTCTGTACCTTTGTACCCAAATACTTATCGTTAAAGAGAAGGTGTTAAACCGTCATGTCTTTCAGTAGTCTGTACGGCGTGTACCCCACAGTCGCCAGACTGTAAGGAATGTTCTCATATAAAGTCACATGCACTCAGTTGCCGATACGTCATGTTTTTATTTATCACAATTCTAGGTGTTTTTAATTTTCATTTGTATTTTATCTTTTTTCTTGTTTATTTAATATGGAAATGATTTATAATAAATCAGGATTTTGCTTCCATACATTTTGAAAAAGTTCGTCGAACGACTTTGTTATTCCAGGTCAGTGCATTTCCTAGATTTAAATTGAGTTAAAGTGGTTGAATGCGACGTAAGATTGATGTTGGTGTGTCGGTAACACGCTACCTTTGTCTGATGACCATGTACATCCTGAACTAACCGTTTGATAGATCCTTTAGTAATTTAGTACAAATATATGGTACATCTATTACACAATCTAATATTCAGATTAAAATATTGTTATTTACCTGCAGGGAGAGAGCGGTTGTTTTTTCTTGTCACTTTTCACGTTTTGTTAAAACATAACATCATGGAAGTAATATGGAATTAAAGGGAAGCAATTCATATAATGAATGGTGCTGAACAGCGTGATCTGCTCACAAACCAATACCTGACATTTTCAGATATGGTTGGTATAAACTGTTTTGCTGATACCGGGTCTTACAAACATTTTTATGCATCATATTCAAGATTGTCTTCTGAAAAATATCATTTGACATATTCATGTCATTACTTTACATCAGGGTTTGGGAAGCAGCCAAAATGCACTTTTACAACTGAAAGGAAAAGAAGATTGATTCATTAAACTTCCCAACTATTGGTATTTTCATGTTTTGCAATTAGCGACCATAGGTGTTATGTTAACCGTTTTATGGAGCATGATTTACACGAAATCCGCGATGTGTTATATCCACCCATAAGTATTTATAGTGTACCTGGGCACACCAGATTTAAACATTTCTATGACACTGGACATACAAATATACCACAAAATTAACAACGATCAGTAATTATCATCTATATGACAGCGTACTATTTGAACTGCTGAAAAAGTAGATAACATCGAAAAGTTGTTTACGATATGACGTCATTGTTTACAGTGTAACAACCATACGTCACCCTCCGTGATAACATTCCAATAATAGCTTACAAAGTAGCGATATATATTTAGGAATGCATTATATTCACATTGTATCATGGTCCACTGACAAGGTCGTACTGCAAACAGATCACTTGGTATCTTCACTATATTGTGAAGGTCTGTCGAGGTATAAAACCAGCATTCAACACCAGGTACTCCAATATTATCTGTGACTCAAATATTTGGATAATAAGTAATATTTGACCTTGTTGACCGTTGAATATAAAACACCGGAAAAGGGAAAGGGAATGCGGTAAGATAAAGATATCCACACAGCAGTACTCATTCCCTGTGGTTTTCAGCATACATTTGCCTGTCGATTTCTCAATCTTGCCATTGTAATTTTTTTTAAGCTTTTACTATCAATTTTGTTTGGAGATGTATCATCTTTTGCTTTTTTCGTGCATTGTTTTGATAATTCATGACATTTGCTATCCCCCCAGGGGAAGTACGAAGGGTATATTTGTATTTCTGTTTCATTGATACGTGTTCATTTTGATACAACCTGATTTTCCCACTGTAACTAAATCTTCCAAACTTTTGAACAGAAATGAAAATATTTTGTAGTGTTTAAAACGAAGGGTGTTTTTGTGTAATTCCCTTGATAAAATAATGTGTACTTAGATAATATTTTAATAAGTTAATGTATGTAAACTTTCTTTTGGATTTTTTCCTAAATTAGTTTTTTTTTTTTTACTTGAAAGCATTTGAATGGTTTATACACTGACTCCACCCAATAAAATCGCAGAGAGAAACTATTGTTTTTATTTTGTTTGTCAGTAGGATTAGTACGTCTCTCCTTAGTACAGGTCCCGATCTATACACCTACTCTTATCGCAGTCACATGACGTCAGGACTACAGGTAGATATATGATTTGGCGTTTGCGCGGTAATAACAAGAGATGAACAATGTTTGTGTTTAATAATTTATTTTTTATAAGCACATAACGTGGAAGGTTGATATTCATATAAATGAAAATCAACATTGAAAATCCTGTTTCAATTTTTGTAAGGGTAGCATGAGTGTAGATAGATACATTCTGTTCAACTTTGCATAAGATTGTTTAAGTTGAAGTTGAAGTAGAGATAGAAGAGAAGGTAGGGTAGAACATGCGTTATATAAATACGAATGAACAGTATTGTCCTTTTTCTTTGTTTCGATCGCGTTAAACTAGACTGATAAATTCTGTTCCAGATATTTTACTGATAACTGTTCATTTTTGTTAGATCCTAAATGGTATGTAACAATTGCCAGATAGTACAAATCATGCTTGAATGAGATATATAACGATGTATTTACGAATACTACTTGTCAATTAAGTAGCTTGTTAAACTAGTGATACAGTTTCTCATAACACTTACCGATACAACAACTCTCCAAAATTACATTAAGTCAGTTAAAATTGGATACACATTAAAAAGATATACATAAAATTGTTCATCAAAGTGACATAATGAACTCTTATAGGATTAGCATGTTTAACAAAGAGGAGCCGAAATGTAAGGAAATAAATAGAAAAGAGAAACGCCATGCAAAAACGTTAATGCGTACTGCATGTAATAGATGTTTCTGTTTCAAATCAGAATAAATATTTAAAATGTCTTGTTTGATTCCTTTTCAGTACAAAACGTTCAACGCTCGGGAAACTTAAGGGTGTTTGTTCATTCAATTGAAAAATGTAATGGTCTCTCTTAAAAACTGACATGATTTTTTTTCTGCACTACAAAACAGCAATGATATGTCTTATAAAAGAGTAGAATAACCAATTATATATTTAACCCCTAGATCTAACAACATACCGTGCATCTTATATATTAATTTATGAAATAATAGAGAGACATCAGTTACAAGGGAAGACAAATTTTACCCACTACAACAGCACCACGCTTCCAAACAAGGAGGCTTAAATGTTACCGTTGCTTAATATCAGCCTGTTAACCTAGATCGAATCATAGTGGCGGGTTGTTTACTGATGGGGGTTACACACACCAAATACATGGATGCAAATTGCACAAATATATATTCAGCAACATTTCTCTGAATATATTTATTCATAAATGTTTTATAGACAATTTGCCACTATGATCAAGTCGAGGAAAACTGGATAATTGTGGTGATGCAGCGGTTAGCGTCGCAAATCGATTTGGTCAAAAGGTTACTTTCTTTTGATGCACATGTCATTTAACTTATAATACATATGTACACATTTGAATTTAGAGTAGCGACACATACATGGTATTTAATACTGATTAACCGGGTTATAAAGAATATTAAATAGGTAATATACGTATTACGAAAAAAGTGCTAATTTATATTATAGTACCATGAATGGAACGCGAATCAAAATTATTCATACTTCAGTCATTCCGACGCATATTAAGACACGCCTCCGCCAAAAAAGGTATCTAAAACTAGCATTCCCAAACCTGTATACATTTTCATTCAGTCTGAAATGAAACAGATACACAAGTTTTGAATCACAGCTTCAAACATCTACACAATCGCTGACCAACAGTGGCAAATGTACCCTGTTCGTTTTCGTTATTACTGTCCCACATATGATAAACCATGTACTATACTTACACACATTTCTTTTTTGTTAAAAAGAAACATTGAGAGGCGCTTGTATCAGTAAATGACAACATGAGTTTAAAACTATATTTAAACTATAATTAATAATAACTTTCCAATCGAGAATTCATGAAATCATGACAATTTTAAGATTTAATTTCAATCTAAAGCTGCTGTAATATGTAGTTATTTAACTGTGACGTTTAATGATAAAGAGTAGGTGTATAGAGTGAGAGAGGTTTTTCTCCCTGCTTGCTTGCTTGCTTGCTTGCTTTGATTCCTTTTTATTTATATTTCCGTTGTACTGTTTTACCACATTCTTATACTGTACGTTTTTTTTTTATACTTTAATAGTTAGGTCAATACAGTACTGCAGTACAATTGAAAAGAAAAGATTATTTACTTCTAGTTGACTACAATGCTTGAAACGGTTATCTATAAACCTATGTATATGGAGGTTCGAACGAGTCGTGAATGATTATGTAATATCACCGACCCCCGTTGCAGAAGTACTATAATGATGGTTTATGGGGACCGCCGCCGCGGGACAGGTAAAACACCGTGAGAGGCGTATACGTTTTACTCCCCACCTATTACAGTTAAATAGATTCCATTTAGCAGTTTTCAGTCAGTCTAATTGCGTTAGAAATTCAATGAGCATTCTTCAAAAATTGATGTTGTCAAAGATTTACCCAATGCTATATCTTGACAGATGCACAAAATACTAAACGTAATAGGTTCGGTGGAGAGGTTGCCACACAATTCCAGGTTTGAGACACAGAACAGCTATTGGCTTTCGGCTGAAAACGATATCGACTCTCAATTTGTTTTCAAATCCGGAAAAGTGACAAAATTACTTTCAATTTTATACACATCAGGCAAAAATGACGCAACCAATTGTGAAATTAATATTCAACAGAAAAGATAATACAAACACATTGCAACGGTATAGATATCTGAACAAGCAACAAACAAATTTATGTAAGTCAGGTAACTCAGTTTTATACACACACAAAAATGAACACCAGGAATTGTAACCATAATATACGTTGGAATAGTAACACAAGAAATCCGTAGCTTAATACACATAAAAACAAATATCGCAAGCAATTCTCAACGTTGTACATCTCTGAAAAACTAGCAAGCAAACTTCAGCTTTATGCACATCAGAAAAATAAACCAGAAATATTTGACTTTTTTCACATCTAAAAAAAAACCACTCGAAATTTCAACTTTAAACACATTGGTCGCTTCCATGGATTCAAATATTTGAATCTATTGAACCCAAGCTTTTGTCTCCCCAACTGTCAACATTTTCCCATCTACTTCACAATAAAAACAAGACTTCCTGTTAAATAGCCTAGAGAGTAATACGATTGGTAAATTTTGTATAGTAAATGTTACATTAATATATGGTAAATGTTCAACTTTAAATAATACAAAATACATTGTACTTATGGTGATGTAAAGTAAGCATTTATATGTAAAACAAGTAGGCACCGAATCTGTATTGTTATGATAAGTATTCACATCTAAATTTTAAAACACAGTGTCACCCGGTTCTCTCATAGAAATACATTGACATTCCACCATACTCGATCAAGACTTAAACTTTGGTGTAGATACAAGCTAAGTAGATTGTGGAATTCAGAAGATATTCTCTACACAATATCTTTACTAGTGTTACTCGCCAAGTGTGTCCTTTGACCGCTCAATTTTGTCAAACCCAATCAAAATATATAACAATGGATGTAGAACT